ACCAGTATTTGATCACAGATATCTTAGAAATATAGCTCGCACCTGCTGGAATTACTGGGTGGGTAAGTAATAATGAGATTGGACGCAGGTTATTAGGAAACGATGGTAAGTCAGTTGATGAGGTTGTAAATCTTCGTCGATTAAGATAGCTGGACCACGTGTTATGTATGCCTGAACACCGTTTCCCACGGTGCGCAATGCTGATTAGTATCGGAGACGGTTAGAAGAAAGTTAGGAGCGGCCAAACCAAAAAATGACATCAGTCACTGAAGTCAATAACTTTTAGTCTGAGCCATGTTTGTAGATGCAGACTACTTGGTTAGGGGCCAGCGCGACTATCGTAACCACGAATTGGAGACTGGGTGGTGTGGCTCATAATCGATCACAATGGCGTAGGTATATACACTCTTTGTCTTCTCTTAAACCGTAAGATAAAAATCACGGCAAGATTATAATTTATGGACAAACCAACCAGATTGGGGATAACAGGTCTTGGATTTGGACACCCCGTCAGTCCATACAAATCCCCCCACACAAACACTGGACAGCGAGACCATTAAAGAACTCGATATCTTTGGTCTGCTAAATAAGCTTGACGTAGGCAAATCCACGGGGCCCGTGAACTGCATCCTAGGTTACTAAAGGAATTAGCTAACTTCGTTGCAAACCCTTTAAGTATATGCTCTAATCTATTTGTAACCCAGGGTCGTTTACCAAAAGACCGGAAGAACCCCATCAGTCAGTCAGTCAGCTACAACGTAGGACCAGGCACATATGTGCATCGGTCCAGAACGCCATGGTAAGTCCTGTCTTCAAAACAGGTACAAAACACAAACCAGAGAATTACCGACCCGTTAGCCTATCTAGTGTGGTTGTTAAGATCTTAGAAAATATTATTCTGAAGGAGCTATTTAAGTACCTCAATGAAAACCGGGTCCTTTCGGAGAAGCAGCATGGTTTTAGAATAGGTTATACCTGTCTCACCAAATTATTAGTGGCTCATGAAAGCTGGTGCGCTCTTAAGTACCAAGATTTACCTGTAGATGTAGCCTACATTGATTTCAGCAAAACTTTTGGCAAAGTTCCGCACAAACGGCTGTTATATAAGCTAAGAAACGTCGGGATTGGAGGCGATCTATTGATGTGGAATAATAACTTCCTAGTTGGACGCCAACAAAGAGTATGGGTTAACTCAAAGTTGCCTAGCTGGGAAACTGTACTTAGTGGAGTGCCCTAGAGTACAGTTTTGGGGCCAGTGTTATGCTTCTTGTGTGTAAATGACATTTGTCTATTTTCATCATCGGTCTTGCTATATTCTGACGATGTCAAGATATGGACAGCGATACGGAGTAAGAGTGATAGCTTAGAACTCCAAAATGGCCTGAAGAAATTATCTGAATGGTCTCAAAACTGGCAGTTGCCGATTAATACTTCTAAGTGTATTGTGATGCATATCGACCATCAAGGTACAGATACATACACGATAAATAACACTGAGCTACCTAATGTCCAGACACACAATGACTTAGGGGTCATCGTTAGCCAAGACTGAAGGACTACTGCACACTGCCGTAAAATAGCCGCCAAATGTTTTAGAACTTTACGGTAGATACGTAGGGCCTTTAGTCACGTCGACGCTACTACGTTATTGACTTTGTGCACAGTGTTCGTGCAACCTAAACTTGAGTACTGCATACAAGCGGTTAGCCCCTGCTTAAAAAAAGACAGTCAGTTTTTTGGAAACGTTCAGAGAACAGCAACTAAGCTGATTCCTGGAATAGCGAAGCTCGCGTACATTCTTTAGACAAATCACTTAATATTAGAAACATTAGGAAATTAAAATCGAGCCAAAGAATACAAATTAACCCACCTTAGTAAGAAGCTCGTGTGGGGCTTCCTCTTCACATCTGAAACAATGTTAAAAATTTCCCACTAACATACCTGACTTCAACTGTGGCATCATGTGTTTTAACATGTTTTACAATTCTCATTTTCCCAGCTTTAACTGAAAATTTCGTTATAAGTGATAAGATACATAGGCTTACCTGCTGGAGGGTGTGAAATATTCATCGTGTCTGAAGTTTTATCCGTCATCGGTGGGACTTACTCACATAACCTTGAATTCTAAAATGGCGGCACGCTTAAATGGTTCAAATGGTTGTCTCAGTCTTCAGTCTTCAGTAATAAGGATAGGAGGTCTGTCGACCTATATTAATCCTTGCAGTTTGTAATACTGTGGAGGTCCAATCTCGTTTTGAATATATTAACAGACGGTGCTGATATTACGTGTTCCGGTAGGGAATTCCAGTAATTCACTACTCGGTGCGAGAAACGGAACTCCAGACGTAAACGGTTTGATCTCGGTTTTTGAACTTTCTTCGAATGTCCTCTCAAATGATCGGTTCTAGACGGAAGCAAAAGATAAGACATGTTAATACCAAGGTCATCGTTCAGTATACGATAAGCCAATATTAGATCACCCCGTACTCTACGGTAAGATAACGGAAATAAGTTAAGGTGTCTCAGTCTGTCTTCATAAGATAGGCCAGCTAGACCTTGTACCATCTTAGTAGCTCGTCGTTGGACTCTTTCTAGCATATCTGCTTCATATTTGAAACAAGGACTCGCTGCTTGAATCCCGTATTCTAAATGTGGTCGCACATAAATCGGGTATAGTAATCCAAACATTTCATCATCTAAATACTGAAAAGACCTACGAATTGACCATAATACCCTATAGCCTTTTGCAGCAGCAGCCTTATAGTGACTAGTCGTTTTGAGATCATTGCTTAATATAACTCCTAAGTCTTTATAGTTTCTTGCTTTGGGTAGCACGAATCCACGTAGTGTATAGTCATACGATTCATCAGAGTTATTTAACTGCATCACTACACTCTTATTAGGATTTACTTCTAGTGACCACCTGTCTAACCATGCCACCAATGAGCTAAGATCGTCCTGTAATACTATTCTATCCGACATACTATGTATGGGTCTCCAAATCTTTATGTCATCAGCGAAGAGTAGAACGGATGATTTTGCTACAGTTGGCAATTCATTTACATAAAGTAAAAAGAGAAGAGGACCTAGGATTGTGCCTTGGGGAACCCCACTTTTTACAGGTACCCACGAGGAGAGAGCCCCATTAACCCTTACCCTTTGTCTCCTGTCATGGAGAAAGTTACTTATCCAATCGACGACTGTGTTATGGATTCCAAAACGTTTCAGTTTGAATTTAAGACCAGAGTGTGAAACCTTATCAAAGGCTTTACTTAGATCTATGAAAATTACATCCACAGGAGCATTCCGATCCTTTGCCGCAGCCCACTCTTCTCGTGCAATGAGAAGATTTGTCAAGCAAGATAGGCCTTTCCGAAAACCATGTTGTACCCTGGAGAAAAGATTTTGCCCTTCAACATAGTTTATAACAGCTATCCGAATGATTTTCTCCATCAGTTTCACAACTGCACTAGTTAAGCTAACGGGTCTATAGTTACTAACTAAATCCCTACTCCCAGCCTTATACACCGGACTTATTATGGCGTCTTTCCAGTCTCTAGGAAGTCTGGACTGTCTCAGAGACATGTCGAATAGTATCGCTAATGGTTCGGCAATTTCATCTGATATGGCTTTCATAATCCTAGGATGAATATCATCGGGACCACTGGACTTATCAGGTTTGAGATGCTGAAGTAGCCTTAAAACAGTATCTTTCTCAATGACTACAGGATCCATCAGCGAGCCGTCACGGTCACAATGAATCATTGGTCGTTCCTCATTACCGATAGAAAACACTTTACTAAAATATTCCGATAAAGCTTCAGCTTTTTCGGCATCATTCTCTGATAAGATTAACGGATTGTCTCGTATCAAAAGTGATGGAATTCCATCGCTTCTCTTAGTTCGCCTTTTTATATACGAGAATAACCGTTTCGGACTATATCTAGAATCCCTAACCAATTGTTTTTCGTATGAATGTCTAGTCTTGCTTATTAACGCTTTACAGGCATTCCTAATCTTACAATAACTGGATCTGTATTGTTCTAAGCCAGTAGAGATGAACATATTCCAGTGATTCTTCCTTTTTCTAAGGAGTTTCCTGACCGTTTTAGTTATCCATGGTGGACTATTATTCGGTCTTCGCGGTACCAGGTATGGTATGAACGGGGACGTAACTAGTCTAAATTTACCTTTAAATACAGACCATGCTTCTTCAACTGATATGCTAGTATCTACTAACCAATCTGTCTTGGCAGCGCATTCCTGAATGGCTGATATGTTAGCTTTCCATACATTTGGGCGCGGTGTAACCTGATCGTATAACATGTCCCTAGTTCTAAACGCGAATGACAAAACAGCGTGATCGCTGTTTACTAACGGTGGAAGAATATTTAAGTCGACAATATCCTCAGTCTCATGAGTGATTACCAAATCCAGCAGAGAAGAACCCTGGTTAACACCAAAACGTGTGGGTTGGGATACATGCTGCACTAGTGCATGCTCCATTATTGTTATCAGTAACCTACTATCAAAGGAGTTTATAGATCCTTCTGTGGTCATATCAGTCCAACTAATATCAGGTGCGTTAAAGTCTCCTATTATCAAGCACCTGGTATTATCACTCCAAAGATGAATGTGCTCTAAAACAAAGTCATCAGCTAAGCAGATTGGGCTCCGATAGATGACACCTAGCATAAATGTACTACATCCTATTGCCAACTTACAGCTAATGACTTCACAAGTGCCGCTATCATGGGATTCGCTAGTAAAGGAGCGGATATTTATGCCATTGGCTATATATAACAGGACGCCGCCTCCTTTTCTACATCTATGTCTATCACTCCTGATGCAATGGTATCCGGATAATTCTGGAGTAATGTCTAAGTCATGGACTAACCAAGTTTCTGTCACTGCTATTATGAGTGACTTTAACCTGTCTACTAGTGCTTCTAGTTCATAGAACTTATTTCGTAAACTGTGAGCGTTGGCATATAAAACTCCTAAGTAGAACAGCCTATCCACACAGGCCTTGGTAGCATTCGCTTCCAAGACCTGACTATCCGAAAACCCACTAACCGGAGATTTTCCTCGCCGTTTTGCCGACGGGTTTCAAGTTCAGCTAGTGCTTTCTTCCTTTTTATTCTATCTTCGAGAGACATGTCAGGTCTAACTCGGATGTCAGAATTGTCGTGACAACGAGCGCTACTTAACAAGAGATCCCGTTGCTTCTCCGATCCTAGGATTACCTTAAGGAGTCTGCATGGACGGGGTTCAACATTGTCCTCGGTCCTCTTGCCTATTCTTACCAATTTTTTGACCTGAACTCCTTTGGAGTTATCTGGTAAAATACTACGAATGTATTCTCCTAGCTTTTCTAAGCCATGCGCGTGTCTAATTTTCGGATCAGGGTCGTTTGACTCCCGCAATTTGCTCACAATAATATTCGATGTTATTAGATTTTTCTTCTCAGTCACGCCAGGATGGGTTTCACTCTTACCTTCAGATTTTGGTAGTGCAATTTGTGGCTCACAATTTGGGTCCACCAGGGAGTTACTAACTACCTGTGTACTGCTTACAGCTTTTTTCTTTTCGGTTCGTTTCCTACGTACCGTATTCCATTTTTCATCCCTCATAACACTGGGACTATTTGGAACGGTGACTGTTTTATCCAGATCTTCGGTTCCCATTAAAGGTGCATTATTAACAATGTCAGTACCAGGTGGTACTACTCCCCCTGTTAATGTCAACGAAGATTCCACTTTTACGCCAGTCAGAGTCGGTTGTTTGAGGCGTCGCGTAACAGCAGGTACTACACTGACACATTCGTCGCTGTCAGTGCCCGTGTTGTCGGCGCATATGACATCCTTCTTTTTACAGGCCAAAGCCAACAGGCTCATAGCCTCCTGTATTAGTAATGCCTTGTTGGCACAGCAAAACATGCAAAGCCAATGTGAGTTAGGCTTCGAGCATCTTTTGTATGCGGTGGGACTTAAGCGGGTGCACATTTTGTGGAACCACTTATGGCATTCGTCACACTGCATCCCCTCTTCCACAGGGAACAAACAGTTTGGTTGCCCACATTTGTGAGTCTTACCAACCATTGTAATTCGATTTAAAAGGTTTAAAAACAAAAAAATGATAACAATGTGAATACAAGTGTTAGTCAAGGACTAAAAACAGGTACCCAGGACAAAATGTAGCAAAAATTTCAAACTTTAACCAAAGAACTCTTAGTTAAAGTAGACCAAGAATGCTTTTTAGTGCAATAAGTACCAAAAGCAAGTATAATCACAACAAGTACAAAAACCACTGCCCTTTTTGAAATTAGCGCTCGTAAATTCTCTGTTTGGAGATAAGAGAAATGAGGGCATATCAGGTGCAAATTTATCACTAAGCAATTTGTGGACTGTAATCAAGTCGCCTCTAGTTCTGCTATATGACGACGGGAAAAGGTTCAGCTTGGCCAGTCGAGATTCATACTGAAGCTTCGCTATTCCGGGGGTTGTGGATGGAATAGAAGAAGCTTCCGCTTAACAGGCTTCTGTGTCTAGTAGCAGGGGATCACGAATACCTCCAAGCAGGAACCTAGGTATGTTAACAATGAAAGAGGAAAAAGAAATTAGTGAATCGTAGTGTGATGCTGTCCTTGGTCCTTAAGAATGGGTCAAGTTGCCTCTTGAAGGACTCCTGAGAAGTCGCTTGGACTAGCTCGGCCGGCAGCGAATTCCAGCTTTTGACAACTCTAAAGGAGTAGAATTTGCGTCCACAGTCCGTTCTGCTATGTTGTGTCTCCAATTTCTGGGTGTTACCCCTTAGGTTAGTGTTCGAACTAAGCTTAAATAAGTGTTTGAGAGGATGTCCAGAAGTGTTAACGATGCAATAAGCCATTAGAAGGTCACCTCTAGGACGCATATACGCTGATGAGTAAAGGTTAAATGATTGGAGGCGCTCTTCATAAGGTTTAAATTTGAGTCCTCGAACTGATTTCGTGGCCCGCCGTTGGATACGCTCCGGAGTGTCCTTATCCTTTTGGAGTGAGGAAGGAAATACTATGTTTCCGTACTCTAAATGGGGACGGATGAAACTATCGAAGATTATATGGAAAGTTCTTCCGTCGAACTGTCCAAATATGCACTTTAACGTTACCAGTGCAAGGTTTGCTCGGAAGGCATTTTTGTCACAGTTAGCATAAGACTTTAAATCGTAGGGCACTAGGACTCCTAAATCTTTTCCGACTTGGGATACTACTAGAGAGGAGTTTCCTAAGTTGTAACCGTAGTCTGCGACATGTCGCAGATGGACTACTTTACACTTTGAAGTGTTAAAGGTATGTCCGTTATCATCTGCCCAACTTTGAAGTCGAATCAGATCCTCCTGAAGTGCCTGTATATCGCCTTGGTTGCGTATCTCTCTCCAAAGTTTCACGTCGTTGGCAAAAAATAATAAGTCTGACGTTGCCTGTTGGGGAAGATCATTTATGTAGATCAAGAAGAGAAGAGGTCCTAGTACTGAGTCCTGGGGGACCCCACTAAGACATTCCATAGCCTGAGATAAAGTGAAATTAACCCTAACCCTAAAGTGTCGATTTTTCAGGTGTGAAGTGAGCCAATCGATTAGAGGTGGTCTGATACCCGATCGTTTGAGCTTACTGATAAGGCATATATTGTTAACCTTATCAAAAGCTTTTGAGAAATCAAGGTAAATGATATCAACTTTCCACTTGCGATCGAGGATGCTTGTCCATCTGTCCACCGCAGTCAGCAGGTTGGTAATACAAGAGTAACCATTCCTGGAACCATGCTGTTGGGGTGAGAAGAAATTTATGGACAGTAAATAGTCATGTATACCGTTGCATATCAGGGATCCCATATTTTTTAAAGGTACAGAGAAAAGAGCTACCGGTCGGTAACTTGAAGGTTCGCTGCGTCGACCTCCTTTGGAAATTGGTGTGACGTGAGCCAACTTCCAATTTTCCGGTAGTTTGCCTCGGCTTAGTGTGAGAATATCACGCTAAGCGGTGTTGCCAGGATTGAGGCTGCTTCCCTCATATGGCAGAATGGACCATATCCGGGCCAGGAGAAATGCCTATTATTAAGTGCTGCAGTTTCCAGAACACCAAGTCAATGCTCAGGTTCACTTCGATAAGTTCTTTGGAGTTGCAGATGAAGCTTTCATCATTATAGTTTATGTGTGTCGGCTGAAATGTCCGAGAGTATTGTTCAGCCAAAAGTTTAGAGGTGTCGCCGTTATTGTTGGTCGGGCCATCGGGGCCTAAAATTTGAGAAACTCCAGCTTTGACCTGTCGAAGAGAGGCTGAATAACTAAATAAGACTTTCGGATTGGAGACAAATTTATCGATAAGCTTTATCTGGTACTGAAGCCTGTCCTCTCTTATAGCCTTCGTGCATATGTTCCTTATATGTTTGTATTGCCTGTACGCTCCATTGTTGTCAGTTCGTTTGTATTCTGTCCAACAGTGCTTCTTGCGGCTTAGCAGGCGAAGAGTGCTGTTCTTGATGATTGTGAGTTACTGATAGCTATGGGGACTGTCTGAGGAACTGAATGATTTGTAGCACATATGATCGTGTGCATTAAGAAGTCCAATGAGTATCCACATCGAGTTGAGGGTGAACATCTAATCCACCTGTTGTGGATAGTCCTGTAGACCTGACGCATTCAACCGTTTGAAATTCCAGCGCCTGTTGTTGGTGAGGTATCTTAGCTCAGTTTTGCTGACGAAACTGAAAGCTATAAAGGCGTGATCGCTTTTCTCCAGGGGAGCCAGGATTGAGAAGTTGTCAACCAGGAATTCTTCGTTTGTAAATACACAGTCTAAGCGCGATGGTGTCTGACTGTTTCTTCAACGAATTGCCGAATTCAGTTTTTTCAGTAACCCCAGAACTTAAGTGAAGTTAAAAAAGGTAAAGTTTTTACCTACAATCTACGTATGTTCCGCGAAATTGAAGTCCTCTAGAATCAGGAAATGAATGAACCAGTGACGAGTAAATAGGGATGATCCTCTCAGCATACGATTAACGTACTCGATGTCAGCGGTGGGCTTCCTGTAGATGACTAAAACTAGACACCTCAAAGTGGTAGACAATCTTAGTGAGCACCATACAGATTCATCAATATTAATAAACTCTTGGTTATGCATTTGATGTACCTCCAGGCAAAATCGCAAGTATAAAGCTGCTCCACCCCCATTCCTGTTTTCCTGTCACTGCTAAACGAAGATATCCCAGGTGTTGCTAGCTCCTGGTTCGTAAACTGAGATATCCAAGTTTCAGATATTCCTATCAGATGAGTATTATTAACATCGCTGAGTTCATGTACTTCGTCTATTTCATTCGGTATACCCGGTAGTAAATCCACGTAAATTTGAGATCTCCTATAAACCGTGACTTTATATCCCTCTGGAACATCTGAGTCATTAATGATGGCGCAGGACGAAGTTTCCCGTTCGATATACGTTTTCTGTGGCATATATTGAGAGGGCTGAAAAAGAGCGTAAGAAAAACAAAGAACGAGAAGCAAAGCAGACATGGTTCATGCATATTGAAACTGAGTTATTTGTGGTGGAGTAGTGAGGCTATTACTACTTAGCCTAATTTTCTAATATTAAGGTACTTTTTAAGCAAGAGCGTTCTAGTAAGTTAAAGGAAACGGGCGTAAATTTGGTATGAATGGACATATAACTGTATAAATGGAGGTGGTCCAAAAAGAAGCTGAACGTATAAGGTTATGTGAAGTTTTGAAAAATAGTACTGAAAACAGTATTTTAATACACAAATGGCTATATCCCTTTTTTGTCGAAGGTATTTCAGCCCATTTTCTTTTTATCGATTTTATAGGGTCATGAGTGTAAGGTCCAAACTACGGTTTGGACTGCTGAATAGCCTTCCAGGTACGTTAGACACGCGCCCTTTCCCGTCGAAATCAAAACAAGTAATCGGGTAAATAGCGGTTCTATAATTCATCATAAATTTAAATGTAAATCGTTACCTAAACAAATATTATCACCCGGCTATTCAACCAATAATTGTTCAATCAAAAACTCTAAATTACAATAAATAAAGTAGTTGGTGAAAGATGAGGGAAAATCACCAGTCACAACAAATGAACATTATTCTATCCTGACTGGATAGAACACGCACAAAAGGAGGAGCAAATCAATATAGCTACCACCAAGAACAAGTGTCCAGTAAAACAACATAGATGCAGTTCAGGAAGAAACACAAACTTAGTGAATGCGTAAGAAAAACAAAAACTATAATGAAAAATACAAGTATTAACAATTCAAATGTAATCAAAAGACAACAATGTACAACTAAGGGGATCAATAGGAACAAAGTGCAAGTATATACATGGAGGGATTTTCACAAACACACAAAACATTCAAAATGGATCTTACAATGAGCAGACTTCGTTCCTAGCGAATTGTCTAGTTTTACTTGTACTAGGATCACACGTTAGGAAGTGAAACCAATTCAATGTCACAAAGATGATTTAAAGAGGTATTTTGTATAACCATTTACCGTCAATACCATTGCTTCGTGACATCCTACATTACCATAGGACCGGAATGACTTCCATCGAACCACAGACCTATCAGCCTCAGCCTAAAGAATTGTCAAAAAGACCACAATGACATTTGTGGAAACCAACAACTTGTTAAACAGAGAACAATAATAATAATAATTTATTCTCAAATAACAGTTTGCTACATGAGACATGCCAGTTTACGGGCAAGATCAAACATGGTTTCAGAAAGGGTTTACCTTGCACAACAAGCCCCCTTATAGCAAGAGGGCAATAGATAAAGGCTCTAGACAACGGAAAACCAGTGGGGGTCGTATACATGGAATTCAGCAAAGCATTTGAAAAAGTGTCAACAAATAGACTGCTCTTGAAGCTATAAAATCTTGATATTGCCGGACCTCTCTTAAAATGGCTTAAGATTTTTCTTTAGGACGTAGACGGAAAGTAAGAGTAAATTCAATGTGTTCAATCCGGAGACCATTACTTAGTGGAGTACCTCAAATTTCTGTCCTAGGTCCATTACATTTTATACTGCATATAAATGATTTCCTGAGTATAG